CTGGCAGCTGCCACCAGCCACTGGCAGGTCACATGACCTGTCAGTTGCGGCTCCTGCCAGCCAGTTGAAGATTGAACCTCCACTCCGAGTACTTGCTCGGAGCGATCATGAATCTGTTTCACAAGTTATAATATTCAATTAAAACCCTCGAAAAAGTAATTGTATCTACAATACAGATAAAAATCACACTAATCCGTTTTCCTACTTTCTAAAAAAGCTCTAGCTCCATCAGTACTCGTTTAACGCCTCTCAGCCAATCAAATTTGAGGACCAGAACTAACTGCTGTATAAAGAGGGAAAGAGTTTTACAGCTCAAAAACTGCACAAGTTGACTTACCTGCATATCTTCCTTTTCATCCACTAGAAGAAAGCTGGTGACTTGCTCCAGTTTAGCTTTCAACGCATCCAGCTGTTCATCTCCAGTGCTGCAGTTCTTCTCCGCGGGTTTCGAGGGAAGGTAGGCAGTAAGCGGGTGCTTTCTTTTACTGACCCCACTGTGAGTCCGTTTTTGACAGTCCAAACACAGATTGATTTTACATCCCTGACAGCGGACCACTGCTCTCAGCCGACCCCCGTTCGCAACACCCCCGTCCCCTTTACATGAATCGCAGTAAGGTACGTGTCCAGGTGAGATCCGGATCCTGTCGTGGTTCCTCATGCGCTCCTGACGGTGGAGCTCCAGCTCGCAGCGGACGCACTGCAGGCTGCCGCATTCGTCGCACTCGAAGGCGGCCTCGTCGGAGCCACCGCAGGCGTAACTCTCCTGACAAACCAGGACGCCGTTCACCCCCTTCTCCACCGACGAGCCCTGACTGTTCATTATACGTCTAAATATAACAGCGAGGTAGCGAACCGAATTTAAAGTACTAAAATCCCTCTTTAAATACACTGACTAAATATTCCTCAAAGTTGAACCAACTACAGCAGATACCAGCAAGACAGATGATATATAATGGCTCAAATATGACGCATTTGAGATTTTAAACAAAATACCTTACTCGTTTGCCTTGAATTTCATTGGAATTCAAAATGTGATGTGTCCGATTATGACACTGGCTTAAAATCAAATATTCAATATGAACTATAAATAGATCAGTTGACATCCCGTATAGCACTGGCACTAGGTCAGACTTGTCTAGTTTTCTGGTTGATTTTAAAGTGATCAAGCGGTCTAAAGTGTCTAAACTTACAAACTACAAGCAACAACCACCGACATGTATTTATTGGCACATGTAACCACTAAAAAATACAGCTACATTCGGGTGTTGTTATCGTCCTGGGCTT